CTGTTTATGTTTTCGAGGTATAATAATGTATGTAAAACGTGATAATTTAATTTAGGATGTCGACATCTTTATGCAGATGAAGTCGTGCTAAATTCGATGTATAATTGGTTGAAGCAATCATCCATTGCACTAACACTCACATGCGTATATATATATTAAATTTGATAGCTTCAAATCTCTATTAATTATCGTAAATCTACTTTTACTCTTTAAAAAGTTGCTTTATAATACAAAGAAAGCCATAATCTAAATCCATTTGGGCCACTAGAGATGTGGTGAAGAAATTTGATAATTAATTCATTAAAATTGTATTAATTTATTAAATGTCAAAGATTGTTTAATCCTTTTTAAATGTTCAAAGATTATTAAATAATTAGAAGTCCTTCCCTTGCATATGTATTAAAAGTTATGAAATCGCTGCACATTTTTGAAAGATTCGAAGCATCTGCTATACATTTCCCAAAATCATTTAGCCCTTTTTAAAATTGATCAAATTAAGTTTAAACGCTTGATTTTTTGAACAAAAAATTGTCCAAAGATCCCTCTATAGCCCATTTTCAAAAGGGATGTATTTATTATGATTTAAAGATTTGGGACTACGATGTACTTCTTTGAAAATTTTGAAAACTCCATTGAAGAATTTCTTTTTTTAATATGAATCTCAATGCACGAATCGCGAAAAGCAAGCATTCCGGTCCAATTATTGTTCCAAACATTTTTATTAATCTTAAAATTACAAGATTCTTTCCTTTTTCTTTTTTCAATTTTCTCATTTTAAAACTAGATAATACAAGATTGTAATAGTGTACTATTGGATACGAGTTCGTAGACAACTTAACATGTTACCTATGATGAAGCAATCCTATTTCTTTTATTATTACAATTAATGAAGTATTGACTCGTATAAATAATAATTTTTACAAGATCTAGGATAAAAATATTTTTATTCTTATTTGACCAACAAATTTTTAAGGGATTTGTTTTTCATTTTTCGTTGAAATGTGTGCCACTAATGATTCGTACCATAGATAACATATGATTTACTAAAAATATAAATTTAATATCCACCAAACAGAGGCATAGGGTGCAACTATTTGTTACCTACTAATGATTCGTACCATAGATAACATATGATTTACTAAAAATATAAATTTAATATCCACCAAACAGAGGCATAGGGTGCAACTATTTGTTACCTGCTACGTGCTCTAAGATTTACAATTCAAAGAATTATATTCACAGAGGTCTAGATAGTGAAATGTTATATCTTTACAACTCTGGGAGCTATGTAAAAAAAGTCATGAATCTGGTTGATTACATTGAGCAAAGCTCAAACCTTGAGGTGCTGGCTAAACTCATCACATAGTTTGAGTGAGCAAGACAATTTTGGTGAGTTCTATAAGAATCGATTGTTCCTTGAAACAAAGTGCTTTGCTCATGTTGCTATCTACCATCGAAACAACTAGGGATCCATGCTTGAATGTCGAAATCATTTTGTGACAATGGAACAATCAATGCGGCAAATCTATTTCGAACCTTTTTATTTCAATATACTATGTTGTAATCGTTCCAGAAAAGTTATTGATTTGTCATAACTCAACTATATATTTATCAAACACAACACATGAATGTCATATTCGCGATTTTAAATTCTTTCTTTAGAGCATGAAATTGTGAACCATATTATATAATTTGTACTAACATAGTAGCTAAATATATTTTGTGCAAAAAATTGCATCTTCTTTTCTTTCCTAGGAAGGGGGGAAAAACATGTACATCTGTGTTGGGCAAACAAATTCTCGTACAATTCTTTTGAACTCAAATGGAATATTGCCCCCAAAAGTTAGTTAAAAGGGTAAAAAAAAGAAAATTACAAAAACTACCACTGTCATTCAAATTCTGGCAATTCAATTAACTCCCCTGATCTTGTAAACAAATCGTACCAAAAATCCATGCCATCTTCCTTAATTGAATCGAAAGCGAACGAGGTTTCTATTACATTTAAAGGGATTTGAACACTGTTCGCAGCTGAAATATCACTTGTAACACTCGAATCCTCAGCTGAAAAAACTTCCGACCAGAAACTTTCATCCATTTCCGGCAGCTGGGTCAAGGCAGCGGCGGCGACGGTGGAGGACGACATTTCACTTGATGAATGCTGTGGCGAATTGGGTTCTGATTTTTTATCTGTGGTTTGATCAAAACTGGAATTATCGGCAGAAAAAACCTCTGACCAGAAACTTTCATCCATTTCCGGCAAATTGGAGACGGCGCTGGCGCCGGCAGTCACGGTGGTAGAGGACGACATTTTACTCGATGAATGCATTGGCGAATTGGGTTCTGATTTCTTATTCAATCTTTTCTTCAAATGGGTGTGCCAAACATTTTTTATTTCATTATCTGTTCGTCCCGGTAATCTTGCTGCAATTACAGACCATCTGCAAAGATAACATTAAAAAACAATATTGTGAGATTCAAGATTTTTCATTTCATGTCAATAAATCTGTAGTATCTCGAGACGCCACTAATGGCCCGTTCGTAATGATTATGAGAATTGATTTTTGACTGTTAGGAAAAAAAGTAGGGGACATTTGTGATTGAAAAAATAAAAAAATAACGATTGAAATAGTGAAATAACGATCTAAAAAATCAATTTTTTGAGTTAAAAGGCACTACCAAACCGGGCTAAACAATTTAACTAGGGTGGCACCAAATTGAAAATGGCACAATCCCGAGAACGCTATTTAGTTTTAGTGGTCTTAAGCACTAGTATGTATAATTAGTCAAAATATTGACCAATTGTAGAAAGTGGACCCAAATATGAGAACAATAATGTTTCTTTGTACACCTCATGGTTACATTTTCTCACTGTCAATGAATATTTTATTGTATGTGGACTGCCAGGGTAATGCTATGTGTATACCATTAGCATGGTCCGAGATATGAGAAATACGAGTGCTTAACACCATGAAAACCCATTTGGAAAAACATGATTAACAACAAACCTGTTTCCTAATTCTTCGTGTAACTGAATGATGGTGTGTTCTTCTTCCTTGGAGAAGCTTCCTCGTTTGATGTCCGGCCTCAAGTAATTCATCCACCGGAGCCGGCAACTCTTTCCACACCTCAATAGTCCTAAAATAATCATTAAAAAAAAAAATGAAAATTTGAAAATTAAATTGGAAAAAAAAATTAAATTTATTGTAATAATGGTGCAAATTAAAAGTATTACCAGCTAGTTTTGGAAGAGCCCTCCAATTTCCATGTCCATTTTGATTGATATAATTCATCAAAATTACATCTTCTTCTTTAGTCCATGGCCCTTTCTTCAGTCCCATTTTTTCACAGCATGGAGCTCGACCCATCTCTCTCTCTCTCTCTCTCTCTCTCTCTCTCTCTCTATGTATATATCTATATGTATCTCTATACGAGCTGTGAACTCATGAAAAATGATTCAAGGGTACCAGTGGCTATATATATTTGAATTCTGATATTAAATAATAGTGGACCACCTTGGCTTATTATAGTTCTTTTTAAAATTTGCCATGCCATGCACGCTCGAGGTTAAATTTCCTGGAAATGTGAAGCTTACGAGTGAAGTAATAATTGGACCAAATGGTCAAACAACACGTGAGATATATATATTATTTTTTTATTTTTTGATGTCGATGCCAAGAATATTTTTTATATATGCTTTCATATGCATATACTTACAAACATGGGGCGGTTAGGAGGGTGATTTGGTGGGTGGGGTAAGGGTGGGGTGCTTTTCTGTACTAACAAAAATATTGTCCTCAAAAGCCACTCTATAGTGGAATTATACTTGTCTGCAGAAAATGGAGAATTAAAGGATAGACAATATATTGAAAATGTGCATGCCAGCCATTACCATTTGACTTTCAAAATAATTTTTTTCATATGTATTATAAATCATTTTACAAATTTTGGCCAAAAGAAAAATAATAATTGGAGCACTTTCCGATGTGGTGTTTTCTTTTTTGAGATTAGAAACGGAAAATGATCGAGTAGTCTAAACTTGTGGCATGTATCGTTTGAATTCGAGCCATTTTTATATTATAAAATCAAGATAACCGATTTCAATCCTAAAATTGACATTGCAGTATGCAAAAACAAGTGGATAAAACTCATTGCACTCGATCCCCAAGAATGACATCGTTAAGGTAAAAGGTTAGTGAAAAGTTCCTTTCAGATTCTACTCTCTAGCTGTCTAGCATACACAAATTATGTGCACATACATAGATTTTGATGTTCGGATGATTTCTTGACCAACCCAACTAGTTAAATCTCAATATGCTGAATAGCTGGACACTGGATCAAGAAGGAGACGAGTCAACCTTGTATTCTGAAACTCCTTTATTCTTCGCTTGATATTAATTATGTAAAGAATGATAATTCAGAGCGGTCAAAGTGTGCGTAAATTGGACTATTTGAAATTTAGCCTTACTCGTGCAACAACGGTCAAAGAAAGAGGGCTAATTTTATGAATTAATTATCTCACCCCAACTATAAAGTTACAATTCTTTAATACATAAAACAAAGATTTTACGTTTTTATATGAAATGTTGAGATGTATTCTTTGAATATGAATATTAAATGGAAACAATTTGCTTAATTTTGCAATGTTTTAAAAATCGACCTGAAAAAAGAAAGGATCAAGGATCAAGAGGTCAAATCGGAATCGAACCGGTAATTTTTAAAATTTTTAAAAATATAGATTTACAAAAATAAAAAAATATGTTTACGTTTAAAAATTTTAAAAAATACATTTACATAGGTTGAATTGGCTAAATCGGGAACATGTAACAAGTTTTTCAAAAACCAACCAATTTAACGGGTTTTGGGGTGGGTTTTTACTTTGAGGTTTTATAAGCTTAACCAAACCAATTTTGGTCCAAATTACCTATTTTTCCGATTGAACCAACTGGCCAGACCGATTTTTAAAGCATTGTAATTTAGAGTAAGCCAATTCAAGTGGTAATCAATTAAGTAGAAGTATTGGACTACAAACTTTTGTCTTAATCTATTAAATCAATTCCCTAATTATGGTACTAATTATATCCATCCAAGTTGTACAGTATTGGTAGGAAGGGCGAGACGAAAAAGAAAATATCCTTAAAGACCTTATTCTTTTGATGTCGATCACGAGTAGTGGTATCTCAAACGAATGTCGAATTTATTCTTTATTGTGGGTCCTTCTTCCCCTAATCCTTTTCATTCTACCAACAATTGGACAGAAACAGTCAATTGTGGCACAATTAGTTAAAATTAATTCAGAAAGATACAAAATTAAACTAAAATATTATTTACTCCACTATTCAATTTTGTTCAATATTGTGCGTTTAGCTTTTGCCACACTTTTACATAATCCCGGATATAATGGTAGATACAAATAAAGTTCAACTTATTAATTATGCGTAAAGTAGGGCAAGCAGAAGAACTAGAACTAATAGAACCGGATCGATCAATTGGACCGGTTCAATTCAATATAAATTTCAAATGGTTTAGGATCCTAAAATCAAGAGCCGGATCTAACCCATCCAATTATTATTTTTGCTAATTTACACAATATAATGTATGAAAATTGAACTTGTCATTCGTCTTGGATTAAGTTTAAAATTGTTTTGATTTTGGACATGAGTATTTACTTTTGGTGAAAGAACTCTGTTCTATAATTTATATTAATAATTTGAAAATTTTAATTTCATTATAAAAAAACCACTTACCATCAATTTAGTTCGATTCTCTTAGAAATAAAACCAAACTACCGTCACCCCTAGTTTTAAAAAGTAAGTTATTGTAAGGAAATTTGACAAGAGACAAATAAGGACAATTTATCAATTTATTTCGTCATATAATAAATCCGTCTAGATGAAAATAGAGTCTCTAATTTATTGTTCAACATAATTATGATGCATTTTGAATGTTGATTTCCGACCTATTGTGCTAGTCGCAACCTTGAAAAAAGAAAAAAATAAAAAAAAAGGCCAATTTGATTCGTGGTCATTTATTGTAGTTACACACAATCAATCATTGATGGCCAAAAACCTATGAACGTCTTTGAACATCTCCCTCCAACTACAAAGTCAATTGTAATTGATATTGGCATGCAGCTCGAATTCTTTAATAAATTAATTGTACTTGATAAAATATAAAAATGTTAGGTCGTGCCAAGATGTCATTTTCTGAATGGGAACAACGATATCTATATAGAGTTTTATTTTTTGTGGCAACGTGATATAATTATACACTATATCCGGTATCCACCATTAATAAAAGAAAAAAAAAACTGCTTACTTTGTAGTAATATAATTTAAGTGGTAATTAATTAAGTAGAAATAGTGCTTAAAACTCCGAAAAGCACAGCAAATATTAGGATAAAATAAACGAAGAAGGGGAGGGTGGAGAAATCCAGCTTTGCTTGAGGCTGCTGTATCAAGGGTTCGAATCCTGAAATATGGATTTGGCTCTTGAGTAAGTGTAAGTGTACAAGCAGCCTTCCATCCTGTACCCTTGGAGGCATAACCTGAAATTTACCTCCCTCACGATATTCCAAAGCAGGGGTGGTCGAGGACCCTTAAAGTTAGGGTTTAACCTTTAAGAATTTCAACTTCTTAGTTTATTAATTAATTCCCTATTTACGATATTAGTCGTCGGCTCTAATTGAAAATTCAATGCACAATTAGCATTTTACAACTCATATTGCTGTACTCTCGTAGTGTCCCAGCAAGAATGGTCCTTGTCAAATTTCTTGATTCAAGGTTTTTCAATATTTTTCTTTTGTTATTTTTGGCTTTTTCTGCAAATATCTTTTTTAATCTTCAAACTTTGCGGCACAACTTTAATATGTACAGCTGTTTATTGGTTCTATTATTTTATTTATTTTAGTACGATACATCTTCGGACCATACGTTGTAGTATCAGAACAAGTTAAAGAAACGTCACTTCTCTTGAATAAAAACGATTTGAAAAATCTTTGAATGAAACTTAAAAGGTTAACCCCAACCTTCAACGCTCCTACCGTTTCGCCCCTAAAATTTTCTGAGGAAGGTAAATCGTAGGATGTGTCCAAACAGGATAGGGAACAAGAGCTGTCTGTATACTGCGCTTACAAAAAGTCCAATTTCATGTTTCAGAAATCGAACCCCACACTGCGACTGCCAACAAGGCATGAGATAACCTCACTCATGTCCTTTGCATCACTGGACTATACCCTGAGGGGCAATCTTTGAATGAAACTTGATAGAACGTGTAGTTGAATAGTTGATGAAAATTGTTAGTACCATAAAATTGTTAAAATTAAATCTTCAATCATTGATACGAATTATAGTAGTAATAGTAGACAAGATCTTCCCCTCCTTGCTCCTCACAAAAGTATTAGCTATCAATGGGACAAGCTAATGAAAACACATATAGAGAGGAGAGGGGACCTAACCTTTATATATAGGAAATAATTGAGCCGTCCCATTACAATTAGAATTCTAATTAGGGTTTATTTTCGACCCACATACTTTAAATTACCACATCAAATTAATTACAACCCGTAAGGTGTAAAAAGCCCAATTGATCACTTAATAAATTTGGTCCAAACACAAATATCATTATGAGCCATATATCTAACCCGTAAAATTTTGCAATCGAATGTGAAGCCCACATATGGAATTATTAATTATTCCAACAAAAATATGTGATTAGAAGTTCGATCAGTTTAGAAACAAGAATTAAATTTTAAGATACGAAAAGAATACTCAAATTATCTAAGATACGAGTAAAGCTAAAAAGATGTGGCAAATTGTGGAAGTTTGATTCATTAATCCAAGCCGGCTTCGTTAAGAATTCACAGTTAACTTGTAAGTGATTAAGCACTTAAATTTTAACACTTATTTAATGCGCCCACCTCATTTTTCATACCCTTAAAACTCTGAAAGTTCGTCAATTTTATTTTTCATGAACTCTCGAATTAAAATAAATCTAATTATGTTGAATTTATAATAAATCTAGTAATGAGTCAAATAGAATGACAAACAGTGGTGGATCCAGGATTTTGAATCAACACGGGTGGCTGTTGACCTATGATAGTCGACCGTCGGCCACAATAAAATATTAAAAACCCATTTGATGTCTTTTTTTTTCTTTCAAAAAATGCATTTTGGATTAGTGATTTGATTGAAAAGATGTGGTTAAAAAAAAAATTTTTTTTTTGAATTTGCGTGTAATATTATTTTATTGAAAATAAGAGAAAGAGAAATTTATTTTGAAATAAATGTGAATCAAACAAAGCCTAAAATTTAAATATAACAATTATTTTGTTCAAATTCATGAGATAACCTCACTCATGTCCTTTGCATCACTGGACTATACCCTGAGGGGCAATCTTTGAATGAAACTTGATAGAACGTGTAGTTGAATAG